CATTACTGCCAAATGCTTTCTTATAGCATTATAATTGTTCAATGTCCACTTATGAGTGAGAACATATGATAAATCATTGAGTATGATTGACTCCAAATCCATCCAAGTTGCCACGAAGTAAATATATTTGTCCTTCTTTATGGCTGCATAATATTCCATTGTGTATATGTACCACATTTTCTTTATCCAGTCCAGCTTTGATGGGCAACATGGTTGGTTCCACGTTTTTGCTCTTGTGGATAGAGTTGCAACAAACATACATGTGCAGGTATCTTTTTTGTAGAATGATTTGAGTTCCTCCAGGTATATTCCCAGTAGGAGAAGGTCAATTTCTAGTTCTTTCAGAAATTGCCACACTGTCTTCCAAAGAGGTTGCTCTAGTTTGCATTGCCACCAGCAGTGTAGAAGCCTTCCTTTTTCTCCACATCCTCGGCAGCTTCTGTTGTTACTTGTCTTATTAATGATGGCCATTCTTACTTGGGTTATGTGGTATCTCAATGTGGTTTTGATTTGCATTTCTTTGATGATTAGTGAGGCTGAGCACTTTTTCATTGTCTATTGGCTGCCCGTATATCTTCTTCTGAGAAGTGTCTATTCATGTCTTTTGCCCACTTATTTTATTTTTTATTTTTCAACACAAAATATATTATCAAAACCCCCAAGCTACAGGTTTAGCTTTATGAAAAACATATAACCCAGTTGGCAAAGTTAGTCTTTAACAATCCATTCCCAAACATATTTTTCAGATAAACATATACATCCATAGTTAACTTTCTTTTTCTAAATTCTAACCATTGTCAGACAAAATAAGACATAGCCTTCTCCATGCTTTGTAGAACTTTTTTTCCTTCCTCTTATGGGATTCCTTCAAGTTTCTAGAAATACCTCTATGTCTTGGACATTTCTACTCCAGAGAAATGTACCTCAGAAGTATGTACATTGGCTAACTGGCCTATCAGCAGACAAGTTCCAAGGCCGAAGTTGAGGGTGTGAATACAAATCCTGGAATACTTTGAAGCTATCCAAGCCATGCATTTCCCATTCAAGTCCCCCACCAGGGTCTGAACACTGTAGTCTAAGTCACTTTGCAGTAAGCTCCTCACTCAGATGTTGTTTTTCCTTGTTCTTCTCTCCAAGAATCTCCACTCATGTTTAAGATGCCAACTTTAACTTGGCTGGCTTGAATTAACCCAATATTTACAGCTATGCAAACTGTGGAGGTTAAGAACATAAATATAAAAAAGTTAAGGCTTAATTTAAATGAATAAGTTCTTCTCCACGCTAAATCACTATATGGCACCTCACACTTGAAGTAACATCCACAAATCCCCCACTCTATCTGGCAGATATACTCAACATGCTATATTAAGTATAATTTGCATTTTATTTTTTTCCAGATAGTTGTTCTTCAGTCCTTAAGGACTCAGCTTCATATATGGGCTTTGTTGGAGGTCGTGGGGTGGCACCCACAGGTCTAAATTGGAGTGGGAGGGTCCGGTCTTTGTGGGCTTCACAAGACCGATTCCTCACTACCTTGCTGTGAATGGCACAACTCACGCAGTGATGCAGTTTCACATACAGCTTGGGAAGCACATAGGCGTCAAAGACACTTGCTTCAGAAATGTCCTTGACAGCTGTGACCTCCACTATGTTTTGAATGATGAACTTCTTAATAGCCTTATCCTTGGACACGCATGGGGCGCAGTTCATGTAGCGAATGGGCTGCACGTGACTGTGGCCCTTTTTGGCACGACCGTTGTTCCTTCTTTTTTTTGTCATCTTGGAAGTGGGACCCCTTTTGCCCACTTTTTAAAGGGGCTGTTTTTTTCCTTTCAGCGCCTTTGAGTTCCTTGTAGATCCTAGATGTTAGGTCTTTGTCAGATATACAGTTGGCAAATATTTTTTCCCATTCTGTGAGCTGTCTCCCTACTC